AGATAGATAGATAGATAGATAGATAGATAGATAGATAGATAGATAGAAAGATAGATGATAGATAGATATGGATGGAAATAGAAGATAGATAGATGATAGATAGATAGATATAGATAGATATAGATAGATAGATAGATAGATAGATAGATAGATAGATAGATAGATAGATAGATAGGCAGGCAGGCAGGCAGACAGACAGACAAGAGAGAGAGGGAGAGAGAGAGACTGTATGTGTGCTAACACATAACAGAATACAGCACCAATGCATAAAAAGTCACAAAACAGCATATAAAATATCTATCAAAATATTTATCTATATTAGGAAAAAGGGAGTCCTTGGGACCTGCTGGCCTGCGTTGACTTGTATCCGTCTCTCTTCTTTGCTCATTTCCCATTTCTTCATCCTCCACACAGGCCAACAAACACTGCTGGCATTTGAAAAGTCCCCAACCTGAGGCAGACACAGGTGAGGCAGGGCAGCATTTTAGGAGCTCACTCAGGAGAGCGACTGCACCCTTAGGGTGTCTTGTCTGCCGTGACATTTCTCTCCTCCACCGCTTGTCTTAAAGGGGGATTTTCCCCCCAAAATGCTCTGAGAAACCTCTAGCACAGTGTCTCTCAGCCTGGGCAAAATTCCAGATGGGTGGATCTAACTCCCAGAATCCTCAGCAATAGTCACATAAACCAAAAGATTCTGGGAGTTGAAATCTATACGTCTGGAAGTTGCCAACGTTGAGAACCACTGTCAAGTGAGATCTTTATTCCCAAGGACACATCCAACCCCATTAAAGATCCCAAGGACATTCTTGGAAAAGAAATCCTTGGTGAGTGGTTGATGGAAGCATTGCCCTGCCTCTAGAACAAGATTCTCCAAAATTGGCAACTTTAAGACTTGTGGACTTCAATTCCCAGAATTCCCCATCTAACTATGCTGGGTTTAAGTCCACCAGTCTTAAAATAGCTAACATTGGAGAACCCTGAACTAGAAGATCGGCAGGAGGTGGTGAGACCTTTCTGGTGTAGAAGTGGTGGCAGGTGGTTGGTCTTAATCCAGGAGTCTCCAACCTTAGCAACTTTAAGACCTGTGGACTTCAACTTCCAGAGTTCCTCAGCCAGCTTTGCTTTGCTGGCTGAGGAACTCTGGGAGTTGAAGTCCACAGGTCTTAAAGTTGCCAAGGTTGGAGACCCCTGTTCTAATCTATAGGTGTTGGCAGCCATTTTGTGAAAATACCCCTGAGATGCCCTCAGTGAACCTGGTGTCCTCTCACCCCCTACTCTGCCCCAGCTGCTGGATCAACCTGCTCCTCATCTTCATCGGCCCAACCACACACGCTTGACCCACAAATGCCTGCGTAGCACCCCAAAAGAAACCCCAACAAAATGAAAAGCTGCACAAATATTTGTCAAGGATCAGTGGAAGGACACCCCCTCCCCCAATATGGCCAAAGCATAACAGAACATAACGTAAAAAGGAACCAAGCAATGGAGGGTCTACCTGGATTGGCGCAAGGCCTTTCCGCACCGCCATGGGCGAGCCGGCGGTAGCCGAAGGAACTGAAAAGAGGCTGATGGGGAAGCATTGGAGGCGGAGGCAGGCAATGGAGCTGATGGAGGGGGGGAGAGGAGGAGGAGGAGGAGGAGGAGGAGGAAGCAGGGAGGCCGTTGGGCAGGGCAGCCCCCCCAGCTGGGAGGGAGATGGCTTGATACTGCCCTGGGGAAGGGTCTGCATCCCACGGACCTGACAACAGAAAGACAAGAGGCAACATGAAGTGGATGTTCCAAGCTGGGAGGGAGAGCCAGGAAGGGGGTTATCGGGGGTCCCGCAAGGTGGAAGGAAGGAGCCACACACAACCAAGTGACCGACACACACACACAAACACACACTCCCATTGAAATCTCAGGAGGTTTTTTTGCCACGGCCTCACTAGCAAACCTCGTTCTCTCGCCCTCCTTCAATTTCTCCCCTCCTGAAAGGAATACTAATCTCAATTGTACCTGCGGCATGGCTGCAAAACTGTAAGAGCTGGCACGCAAAAACTTCTGAGCGTTCCCAAGCCTTCCCCGGTTGATTATTGGGCGATTATCATGATAGAAAAATGATGCCTGCAGCCCCCCAGGGGCATTCCTGCTAGCGAAGACGGGCGTGCTCGGAGTCACCCTCCCTTGTGGAATGCACTTCATGAGGTTTAAGGAAACCCCCGGAGTTTCCTTAACCCTCTACCTGGTTTTAAGGCCTCCGTTCCACTCTCCCACCTACTCGCTCTTGAGGATTTAATCTGCCTTCAAAGAAGATTGGGGCTTACAATATTAATTATATGTGTAACAGGATTCTAACGGAATTTAAATAGGATAATCTACTTCTTTTTTTTCCAGCACCAAATCTCCAGTTGCAATAAAGCAAAGTATTAGATTGGGGGAAAAAAATAATAATCAGGAGGAGAGGAAAGGTAAGAAAATGAATTACAAGGCATCCAACCTTGAGAAAATAGGACATGAATATCAGCCAGCTCCAATTGAAGGCTGTGGCTACAAGCGGCTGGTTCTTTTTCCTTCAGCTACACAGAGTAAGATTATGCGGGAGGCCACAGGCTACAGATTACAGAATAAGAGCGTTAGAAGTAACCTTGGAGATCTTCTAGTCCAACTCCTTGCTCAAGCAGGAGATCCTAGAGCAGGGGTCTGCAACCTTAGACACTTGAAGAGCCATTTGGACCCGTTTCCCACCGAAAAGAAAACACCGGGAGCCACAAAACCCTTCCTGTGCCTGACTATTTCTTGAGCGGCCACAAAACTAGCCTATGTAGTTGAATTAAACGTTCTGTTTTCTTCTGAAACTTTTCTTTTCTTGGATTTATCCATGGTTGGTCTACCAGGGGTTTGAAAAGCTTAATAAATCACATGCCGGCGGGTGTCGCACATTGGCGGTTGTGACGTATATTTTGAGTGACAGGGAGCTGCAGCAGAGGGGCGAAAGAGCCACATGCGGCTCCAGAGCTGCAGGTTGCTGATTTCTGTCCTAGACATTCTAGACAAGTAGCTGTCCAATCTCTTCTTACAAGCCTCCAGGGATTCTTAGTTGAGAAACTGAGTTTCCCATTTGCAACTGATCTGGTGCAAAAGATCTTCCTGCCTCACAAACCTCCAACTAGGGTTTTTGGAGATGGTACCTATCCACCATCACAACTGATGAAGCTTCTTGGAAGAGAAGCAAAACTCCTCCACCTCCTCCTCCTCCTCCTCCTTCCTCCTCCTCCTCCAAAAAACAGTCCAGTTGCATTTTTGAAAAAAGCACAACAAAGAATGTTCCTTCTGCGCCAACTCAGAAAGCACAAACTGCCCAAGGAGCTGCTGATCAGGTTCTACAGAGGAATTATTGAGTCTGTCATCTGCACCACCATAACTGTCTGGTTTGGCTCTGCAACCCAACAAGACAAACACAGACTTCAGAGGATAATTAGAACTGCGGAAAAAACCATGGCTACCAACCTGCCTTCCATTGAGGACCTGTATACTGCACGAGTCAAAAAGAGGGCTGTGAAAATATTTACAGACCCTTCGCATTCTGGACATAAACTGTTTCAACTCCTACCCTCAAAACGATGCCATAGAGCACTGCACACCAGAACAACTAGACACAAGGACAGTTTTTTCCTGAACGCCATCACTCTGCTAAATAAATAATTCCCTCAACACTGTCAAACTATATATATAATAACTATATAGTATATAATAACAATATATATAATAATATATATAATAAACTATATATATAATAAGTCTGCATTACTATGAATCTTCTCATCGTTCCCACCACCCATCTCCTTCCACTTATGACTGTATGACTGTAACTTTGTTGCCTGGATCCATATTGATATTGTTTCCTGATTGCTTATTTGTACCCTATGACTATCATTAAGTGTTGTACCTTATGATTCTTGATGAACGTATCTTTTGTTTTAGGTACACTGAGAGCATATGCACCAAGACAAATTCCTTGTGTGTCCAATCACACTTGACCAATAAAACAATTCTATTCTATTCTATTCTAAAAAGCACCTTTCAGATTCCAGCAAGCAGCCAGAAGAGGGTGCCAGAGAGCTTCCAAAATGCTAAGCCTTCACTGCCCTCTTATGGATGTCTGGATTTCTGCAACTCAGATCTGATAAATCTAGAGGCAGATTTTTTTTTCAACCTTGGCCACTTCATGTGTGGACTTCAAACTCCCAGAATCCTCCAGATTGGCTGGGGAATTCTGGGCACTGAAGTCCATACATCTTCAAATGACCAAGGCCGAAAAATGATGCTCTACTCTAGAAGATTGTAACTCTTTTTTTTTTGCGAAGTGGAAAGGAGCCACAGTCAAGGATACCAGGCCAGGTTTCCACATGGAAAATCCTGAATTCAATTCAAAGATCTGACAAGTACGGCTGCTTTCAAAGCAGACTGGGGTCCTTGCCAACCCAGTGTTTCTTGGGTATGCTGGAACGGGGGGAATGAGTTTTACCATCCCTTCCAGATAGTCTCTCTTTTGGCTCTAGGTTTGCATAGCACTGGGGAAATTCCTTTCAACCTAGAACTAATGAGAAGCTTCCTGACAGTGAGAACAATCAATCAGTGGATTGGCTTACCTCCAGAAGTTGTGGGTTCTCCATCACTGGAGGCTTTTAAGAAAAGATTGGACAACCATTTGTCTGAAATGGCATAAGGTTTTCTGCTTGAGCAGGCGTGTTGGACTAGAAGACCTCCAAGGTCCCTTCCCACTCTGTTATTCTCTCTGGCCAAGCTGTCTGGGCACATCTCCAGTCTGTGCTCATTCAAGAAAGAGGCCTTTGCTCCTGAGAAGCCACTGCCGCCATTCCTGACCGCCTCGGCTGGCTGCCGTTTCACACACCAAGATGGCTCCCAGCTGCCCCCCTTCAAGCCCCATCAGGCCATGGAGCTCTTCAGCCCTCAAGAGATGTTCAGTCGTTGCTGGATTGCACTGGCTGGAATTGGATATCACTGGCTTTCTTTCTTGGTCATGTTTTTTACTCTCTGCTTTGAGGTTACTTTTAACGGGAGTAAAATAAAACACATGCGGTATCTGAGCACCCACTGAATGCTTCCAGATGTTAGCCAACCCGGAGTCTGGGGGTGCAGCAATTCTGCTCCCAATTCTCTCTCTTTTTTTGTGGGGAAAAACCAAAGAGACAGGAAATGGAAGGGGGGAAAAGATAGATGCTTAGTGGTGCAAGGAAAGACCGGCTGCTGCCACCAAGCCTAAACTTCCACAATGTATAAAATCTTTATCTGGAAGCCCCCAGTCGAAGCAGAGCAAACCCAGGCAGCCAGAAAGAGAGCAACGAGTGAAAAAGCACCCCTCCGCGTGCGCGCCCCTCCACCCTCCAGAAGGCTGGGAAGCCCCCCAAGAGTGATATTTGCCTGTGCGTTTACTGATGGCTTCGACCAGGGTGGACGGGAAGTATCCCACGCGGTCGTTGCCTGTCCTGTTGTCGTGAATGCAGCCTTTCCACCGTCCGTCGGCATGTTGCTCCAGGACCTGTGGGCAGGGCGGAGGATGGGGGGAGAGAGGAGGCAAAGACTGGTCAGTGGCAAGCATCCATTTAGGGCCAAGGGAGCAAGGAATGGCCAGGACACGGTCTCCTGCAAGGGGGAATCAGAAAGTCAAGATGGTGAAAGCAAGCTGGAATCAGACAGTTGCAGCCACCATCTTGATTGTTTTGCCTCCAGAAATGTCTTGGCCAGCAAAAACGTGGCCTCTCATCTCCTGAACCCAGAGCCATCCTCAATTGCCATTCTTTACTCTGAATGTGCCCTAGGGAAGGGGTCCCCAGCCTTGGCAACTTTAAGACTTGTAGGCTTCAACTCCCAGAATTCCTCAGCCAGCTATTCAACCTGGGCCACTTTAAGATAGCTGGCTGAGGAATTCTGGGAGTTGAAGCCCACAAGTCTTAAAGTTGCCAAGGTTGGGGACACCTGCCCTAGGGCATAAGGTTAATACTTATTATTGGTAGTCCTCGAGTTATGACCATAACAGAGCCTGCCCAACACAGTTGTAACTCCTCATTGTCAAAAGGTGGGCCGGTCACATGATTTTACAATCTTTTTGTGGTGGTTGCTACGTGGAGCATGGCTGTTTTTAAGTGAACGCCACAATTTTGGCAAAAAATGAAGTAAATGTCAGTTTGGGGCAAAACCATCCCCAAAAGCAGTCACATCACCTCAGGGCAGGGCAAAGGGCCGCCAATGGGAGGAACGGCCCTCTTGGTGCTGGGTAGGGAAAGACAAGATAGGCAGGGTCCCACGTTGTGGGGTCCCCCCAGCAGAAGTCTTCAAGCGAGAGCCGGGCATCTGTTGAGGGCAAGGCTGGACCGTATCCAAGGCCATCTTTGGCCCAGGAGCGTTCGGACTCCGTGCCCGCAGGGACTCACCGTGATGATGTCCCCGGCTTTCACATTGAGGCTGGTCAGGTCATAGTTGTTGCAATAATCTTTCATGGCCCTGACCTGCAGGGCGGCCGAAGCGTCTGGGAAAGAAAGAAAGAAGGAAGGGAGGGAGGGAAGGAAGGAAGGAAGGAAGGAAGGAAGGAAGGAAGGAAGGAAGGAAGGAAGGAAGGAAGGAAGGAAGGAAGGAAGGAAGGAAGAAAGAAAGAGACGGTCAAAAAGATAGACTACCTCGATGGTTAGAATGCAGTACTGCAGGCTACTTCTGCTGATTGCCGGCTGCCTGCAATTTGGCAGTTCGAATCTCACCAGGCTCAAGGTTGACTCAGCCTTCCATCCTTCCGAGGTTTATTGCTATTGCTACCTGTACCATCGGCTAGGCCAGGCAGGCCCTGATGTGCTCTGGGCACCTCTTCTCACTGCCAGCCTTGCCCTCTGGGCCTGCTGTCATTCATGCCATCTTCCCTTGTGCCCGAGAGGAACATCAAAGCAGGTTCACACCTTCCCATATATGCCAACCAAGATGGAAGCAGGATGAGCAGGCTGGATGTTGGCAAAGCATGGCCTACTCATCCTGGTGCTTTACCCTAAAGGAAAAAATGGGCCCTTGGAATTGAACGCAGAAGCTCATGGGCAGCCAAGCAGCACTTGACAGGTTGAGCCATCAAGAGTCCAGCTGCCATGTTAATAACGGGCTGTACAGTTTCAGAGACTAAATTGATTTTGAACTTAATATCAGCAGCTAGGCTGCTGGTAGCTCAATATTGGAAGAAGGACTCTTTGCCCACTATTGAAGAGTGGATACTGAAAGTAACAAACCTAGCAGAAATGGCGAAAATCTCGGCGTACTTGAAGGACCACACGCAAGAAAGATACGTATCGGAATGGAGAAGATGGATTGATTATATTCAAAATAAGTATCAGACAAGAAAATATCAAATAGCTTATGAATGATTGTTAGTATTAGAAGTATTTGGTTATCTGTAGTGGAGTTAAGGTTTCAGTGGGGGAGGCAGTACTTTGAGGACAAGTAGATTAATCTAGTTTATGTTTGATTAAATGAAATACCTTGTATTTTGCTCTGGGAAGTCGGGGGGGAGGGGGGACGAAGGGGGGAAAGGGTGGGGGGAACAGGGGGAAAAATTTTTTTGTCTTTTTTGTAAAACTTTTCAATAAAAAAAAAAAAGTCCAGCTGCCATGTTCTGTACCAACTGCAGCTTCTGTTTCGCCTTCAAAGGCAGCCCCTGGCACAGTGCACTGCAGCTGAATGCCAATCAAGACATGAGTTGCCATCACCAGAGGGAATTGATCTAAGTGTTTTTGAGTGGTGATTTTTGCCCTTTTCTTAAGCAAACATCCAGCACCCTAACCTTAACCCTAGAGGGTCCTCTAGGCACAAGCCCACTCTTGGGGGTGGGGCACCATGTCCACAGTAACTCCTGGGCAGATGTCACAAGGTTGCCCCGATGACCAGACAGCTCAATCTCAAGCAGGATTCAATCTGAGCTTGTTTCCAGTCTCAAGACATCAGGTCAGGACTTCGACAGGCACTGGGCTCAGTTGAGAGTAATTCAGGTAAGTCCTCAATTTATGACCACAACTGAGCCCCAAATTTTTGTTGCCCCTTCTGGAGAAGGCCTATCATCCCAGAAGGCCAGCAGCTTTTATGCCCTCCCAGCAAGCTGCTAAAGATCGCCCAGAGATGCTTGCAGGAGGGGCATAGATGAACCCCACAGGGGCTGAATTCTTGTTCCAGGTTAGATTATTTTATTTCTTTCCCTCCCTCCCTCCCTCTCTTTCTCTCTCTCTCTTTCTTTCTATCCATCCATCCATCCATCCAATCATATATCTATATCTATATCTATCTATCCCTTCCTCTCTCTCTCTCTCTCTTTCTGTCCATCCATCCATCCATCCATCCATCCAATCATATATCTATATCTATCTATCCATCCCTTCCTCTCTCTCTCTCTCTTTCTGTCCATCCATCCATCCATCCATCCATCCATCCAATCATCTATCTATATCTATATCTATCTATCCATCCCTTCCTCTCACTTTCTCTTTCTGTCCATCCATCCATCCAATCATATCTATATCTATCTATCCATCCCTTCCTCTCTCTCTCTCCAGAGTTACCCTGTGGTAAGATGGGCAGCCAGTAAATTTAATGAAGAAATCAATACGTAAATAACCCTCCCCAACATCCTCATCATCCACATATTCCAAAAACCTCAGACTGTGCCCAAACAAAAATCTGGCTTGTTATCCTAGGGTGGAAAGGGACCTTGGAGGCCTGCTAGTCCAACCCCCTGCCCAAGGCAGCAGCCTTACTTAGATCATCCCAGTTGTCCAGTCTATTCTTGAAAACCTCCAGTGATGGAGCTCCTACAATCCCAGGAGGCATGTAAAAACCCGCCTACTCCTCCAGCTGCTCCAGAGGTTTTGTCCTCCTCTGTCCCTGTCACTCTGATCAAGGTTGCCAGGCAGGAGTCAGCATCCTGGGTGGGCTCAGGCCAGGCGCTCTGGCTCTGGTCTTCCACCATCATCACCATCACTCTGGGCGTGTCTTCCCTAACCTGAGCCAGCAGATGGAGGCAGAGCCATGGGCTTCCTCCCACCGTTAGATTTATAAATGTGGGATGATCAAAATGGCCTCATTTTCCTGGTATCGGCACTGCGATGCACATAACACAAGTGTCCCAGGAAGGCTGCTGGATTGGGACAAGGGAGTCCCAGTGAGCTGGCTTTGAGCCAGTTCCTCTTCATCACACAAAGGTTCTTGGGAGGAAAACTGGAAGGGGTGGGAGGAAACCTTACAATCTTGAGCAGAAGTGCAAGACAGCAAGAAGTAGCAAGAAAAACAGAGAACAATGTTGTCAGCTACTCTTGCACAGCCTCTCCCAGTTATGAAGGAAAGGGCACCACCAGGTGCAGCTCAGCCTCAGCTGAAGAGGTTTTTCTGGCTGCCCGCCCATCCCCCAAGACTCCCACCTGTCCTCACCTCGCAGCATTTGCTTGATCTCCTTGCTGGCTTGCGTGGCCGTGAACTGGTGGACAATGTCCAGGGCGGTCTGGCTGTAGGTATTCCGGATGTGGGCATTGATCCCGCTCTGTGGAAGAGAAGGGGGGGTCTGCGTGAGGAGGCGAGTGGGGGGTTTCTCAGTGAAGAGCAGCTGAAGTTTCCCCTGGATGCCAGTCGCCTACAATCGCCAGGGGGTCTGCAGGCCCATTGGGAAGAATCTATGGGGGGGCTTACATCCAGGAGGAGGCGCACTACATCGGTCTTGCCACATAGAGCTGCTTCATGCAAGGCGGTTCCTGCCTTCGTCTGACGGTTAATGTCTATGCCGGCCTGGAGCAAAAGCCTGCAAGAGAGAAAAATAGAATAAGAGTCGGAAGAGGTCCTTGGAGATAAGATACTTTAACAGATTAAGAGAGTTGGAAGGGACCTTGTAAGTCATCTACCCTGTTTCCCCCAAAATAAGACATCCCCTGATAATGCCCAATCGGGCTTTTGAGTGCATGGCAATAAGGCCAAGCGCTTATTTCAGGGTTCAAAAAAATATAAGACAGGGTCTTATTTTCGGGGAAACATGGTAGTCCAATCCCCCACCCAAGCAGGAGACCCTGCACCATTTTGACAGATGGCAGTCCTGTCTCTTCTTGAAAGCCTCCAGTGATGAAGCTCCCACAACTTCTGAAGGCAACTTCTGTTCCATGGGTTGATTGTCCTCACTGTCAGAAATTTCCTCCTTATTTCCAGGTTGAATCTCTCCTTGATCAGTTTCCATCCGTTATTTCTTGTCTGGCCTTCGGGTGTTTTGGAAAATAGCTTAACCCCCTTCCTCCTCTCTGTGGCAGCCCCTCAAATATAGGAAGATGCTCTCATGACTCCCCTCTTCCCTAGACTAACCATGCCCAGTTCCTGCAACCATTCATCGTATGTTTTAGTCTCCAGGCCTTTGATCATCCAGACGGTGGCCACCATCACGTGACTGAACATCCCACCATTGTTTACAGGCCTGGATGGAGGCCAAGAGGGATGGGGCTTTGACCCAGCCAAGGCTGCCATCTTGCTTTTTTATTTTAACCTCTCCCACAGGTCCCCGTGCGCAGATGTTCCCCTCTGGGCCACCCTCACTGCCTCTGGATGGTGCAGCCTCTCCATCATTACCACCCCACACTGTGACCTTCACAGGAAAAGAGACCTACCCAGGTTGTGTGTTGTCAGAATGGGTAAACAATCCTCACCTTCGCTTTGCCCAGCCTCTTCAGGCCTGCACCCCCCCCCCCCACTCACCTGATGACGTCAATGTGCCCATTCTTGGCAGCCAGGTGCAGCGGGCTGGTCCCGTTTGGGTCAGTGATGTCCCCCGGCTTGGGCTCCAACAGGGCTGCACACATGTTGCTGTTCAGAAGCAGCTGCACCACCTGGCAGGCCAAGAAACAGAGGAAGTGCCCAAGAATTTCCTCCCGGGACTTCTCTCCATCCCCCTAGAACGCAGCCAAAGCTCCCCAAAGCAGCCAAATCCCTCCCCTGCTTCCCACCCAATATAAGGAACCCTCAAAGAAATCACCAAATTTATTCTCATAAAACGGCATAATCCCCTTTGCCCCAAACCCTGGTCTTGTGGCAAAGATCCACCCGGTTGTTAAGCAAGTGGCTCACAGGGGGGACATCAAAGGGACATATGACCTCTCACCCCCAAATCTCAAGGGAAAGGCCAAAGAAAGTGGGGACAGTTCTAGTGAAGAGTACTGGACTCTCGGGGGGTGGGGGTGGGGGTGGGGAGTACAGTCCTGATGGCCGCACTAGCTCCCACCTACCAGCATCTTTTGCAGAGGAGGTGAGGGTCCTTAACTTGGTTTGTGGCTGGCCCCCTTTCACAATTGTCCCTCCCCAAGAATCGGACTTACCCCAACGCGGCCAAACTCGCAGGCCAGGTCCAGAGGAGTCTTCCCACTGTTGTCCAGTATGCAGGGGTTGGACTGGTGCTGGAGGAGCATTTCTGACTGGGGGATGGAGAGAGAGCGTGTGGGAAGGCCAGAGACCCCCATTGGCACAGACGCAACCTGCCAAATGCACCCATTAGCTCAACGTGAACCACCCCTTCCCCCACCCCCAATCGCCTCTTCCTCTAAAGAGCAGCCACGCCAAGGAGCAAAACGCCATTGAACCTGTCAATCAAAGCCCCATCTCCTTTTAATGTGCATTACCCACAGGGCACACATGTCAAATGGCTGGGGTGTTTTTGGAGCCAATGACTGAGGAGATTCTCTGTCATCCAGGTCACGGTCGTCCCAAAAGTGCTTTTTTCAAGAGGCAACTGGACTTTCTGGTTTTTCTTTGAAGACGTTTCGCTTCTCATCCAAGAAGCTTCTTCAGCTCCAAAGAAGAAGCTTCTTGGATGAGAAGCGAAACATCTTCAAAGAAAAACCAGAAAGTCCAGGGGCCTCTTGAAAAAAGCACCTTTAGGACAACCACTGCTAGAGACACCTCAGTCCATACCCCCACGTGCCTCTGGGACAGGACGACTGTAATGGTATGTGTGAATGGCCGTCAGAACCTGGGCAAAGAGGCACTGCCGAAGGAACAATTAGATAGGAGACTGCATAGCCCACAGCTGCCTAGTGGGAAGAGCAAGGGGCTCAGAAAGGACCTTCCCTAGTTTCTTGAGCTGTAAAGGCGATGGTTGTGGGAAGAACCACACTTTCAAACTTGCAAGGTTCTGTCAATGCAGCTTTTCTCAACCTTGGCACCTTGAAGACGTGTGAACTTAATTCCCAGAAGTCCACACATGTACACTTCGTGGTGCTCCTCTGATGGAGATGGCTTCGCACCGCCTCTTACCACGTCATAGTGTCCGTGCTGAGCCGCCAAGTGCAAAGGGATCTGTCCCTCGTCCGACGCGATGTTGACCGAGGAGCCGGCCTTCAGCACCAGCTTCATGGGCTCTTTCTTTCCTTGCCAGGCAGCGTAGTGTAAAGGGCGCATCCCTGCAGAAGAGGCACAGATTCAGCAATGGAGACAGACAGCAGGCCCTCCTGCCATTCAACAGAACAGCCATCCCACAAAGCCAAGAGAGGAACGGATCCATCTGAGAAGAGGCAACGGCAGTTTTTCTGAGCCATTGCCAGTTACAAAATCAGGTGATTAAGCCTCACATTTTCTGTATTTGATTTTGGCTCCAATGAACAGTGGGGCATCTACCCGTGGAGTTCTTTTCAATTTCATTTTCATTTTCATTTTTTTAAATTTGTATACCGCCCTACTCCCGAAGGACTCAGGGCGGTGAACAGCCATGAAATAAAACATATAAATACAAAATTTAAAATAGAAATAAAACAAGTTAAATAAATTTGGCTGAACCATATTTAAAACCCCAATAATTTAAAACCAAATTTAAAATTCCCATTTAAAAGAGGAGAAGTTTAGGTCAGGCCGGCTTGCTCTTGCAGATCGCTTCCCAAATCGCTTCCCAAAAGAAGGAGATGACTTTTACCTGGCCCTGTCTGGATGTCCTGGCTGAAGGCCATCTCCTCCTTTCTGGGAGAGAACTACAAAGTTCAGGGGAAGAGCCTTGGTAGTACAGTGGTCTAAGGCACCCTGTTATTAAGCTGGTTATTAAGACCAGCTGCTTGCAACTACTGCAGGTTCGAATCTCACCAGGCTCAAGGTTGACTCAGACTTCCATCCTTTCTAAGGTAGGTGAAATGAGGACCCAGTTTGTGGGGGCAATAAGCTGACTTTGTATAAATATACAAAAGAATGAAGGCTATTGCTTAACGCATTGTAAGCCGTCCTGAGTCTCCGGAGAAGGGCGGCATATAAATCAAATTAAAAAAAAAAAAAAAAAACTTGGTTGGTGCTCTGGACGCAGGACCCAACCTCTGCCGCCTTTCACACACCCTGTCTCTACCCAGACTCTTCTGACTTGCCCCCTCGGACAGAGAGAGAGAGAGAGAGAGAGAGAGAGAGGGGGAGGGAGGGAGGGAGGGAGGGAGGGAGGGAGAGAGAGAGAGAGAGAGAGAGAGAGAGAGAGAGAGAGCCTCCATACTTGCCTTTGTTGTCCTTGATATCCACCGCAGCCTGGGCTTCCAGGAGCAACACAATGAGCTCCGTGTTGCCGTTGAGGGCAGCATGATGCAAGGCGGAGAACCTGTCACGACAGGAGCAAAAGTCACCAAGACCATCCTTCCCTTCCCTTCCCTTCCCTGGATTCCCCGCGCCCTCAAGCTGATCTCGTCTTCGGAAGACCGCACCTGGAATACTGCATCCATTTTTGATCACCACAATAACATAAGATGCTGAGACTTGGAAAAAAGTGTAGAGAAGGATGTAGAGAAGCGACTAGGATGATTAGGGGATGAAGGATGAAGAACGGAATTGGGTCTGGCTAGTCTAGAGAAAAGAAGCATGGGGCAACATGAAAGCAGTATTCCAGTATTTGAGGGGCTGCCACAAAGAAGAGGAGGGTCAAATTATTCTCCAAAGCACCAGAGGGCAGGACAAGAAGCAACGGATGGAAACTAACCAAAGAGAGAAGCAACCTGGAATTAAGGAGAAACTTCCTGACAGTGAGGACAATTAACCAATGGAACAGCTTGCCTCCAGAAACCATGGATGCTCCATCACTGGAGGTTTTTAAGAAGAGACTGGACAGCCACTTGTCTGGAATGGCATAGGGCAGTGATGGCTAACCTTTTCTGGACCGAGTACCCAAAGCGTGCAGGTGTATGTGCGAATGCACACGTGCGCGCCCGAACACCCAAAATGCAATGCGTACACACGTCACCCCACACATGGCCCCACATGTGCGCATGCCCCCCCTGCACACGCCCCGTGCATGCACGGCAGAGACCCAATGACCAGCTGGCTGGCGGGTGGCACATGCACACACACACATGGCGAAGCTGAACTGGGGCGACGGCTCACGTGCCCACAGAGAGGGTATTGCATGCCACCTGTGGCACGCATGCTATAGGTTCGCCATCACAGGCATAGGGTCTCCTGCTTGAGCAGGGGGTTGGACTAGAAGACCTCCAAGGTCCCTTCCAGCTCTATTCTGATTCTGATCCTCTTTAATAACCAAGCTCTGAATTCCAAAGCTGGACTAGGTACCTCCAAGGTGGCTCCTCTATCCTCAGCAGGAGGCTGGGCAGAATTTCTCCAGGAGAATCAATCCACTTTAGAAAGGCCTGAGCGCCTCCCAGCCCTGTTAATCTCATTCCACCTGCAGAGGTTTTTTTTTTTCTTTTCTCTTTGGCGTCCTTTCCTCTGTCTAATTAAAACACCTGATAACCTTTTTTAAAAAAAGCCTGCTTCTGTTTTAGTCTAGCTGGGTTTTTGATTTCTGGAACGGCTCTTTCTTGTCAGCATTATACGATTGCTTTATTAGTTTTTAATCCTCGGCTGCATAATGTGCAGCTTGGCACAGAAGGGGGATCTGAAATGAAAACACACAGAGATAAAATTTAAAAAAAATGTTCCCGTCTCTACAACGGTGAGCACAATCACTCCGCCAATTTGCTGTGAGGACTTCAGGGCACCCTGGGCAGTGACAGTGCAGGAGGGAGGGTGAATGGCCCAACTCGCCCTGCAAGGACTCGCCAGCCAGCCCAGCAACCTACTCAAAGGTGAAGGGATGTGCATGCAATGGCTTAGTCAAAAAAATCAAGATGGCAGCCCAGGATCACATCACCAAACTGCCTCCCTTTTTCAGATAAATCTCAGATGTGACATATGTAAAGCAGTGGTAAAATCCAATTTTTTTTCCCACCGGTTCTGTGGGCATGGCTTGGTGGGCGTGGCAGGGGAAGGATATTGCAAAATCTCCATTCCCACCCCACTCCAGGGGATGGATACTGCAAAATCCCCATTCCCTCCCCACTCCAGGGGAAGGATATTGCAAAATCCCCATTCCCACCCCACTTTGGGGCTAGCCAGAGGTGGTATTTGCTGGTTCTCCGAACTGCTCAAAATTTCCACTACCGGTTCTCCAGAACCTATCAGAACCTGCTGGATTTCACCCCTGATGTAAAGTCTCTCCCCCCACACAAACTCCCCCTGGAGCTCCTGCTTCTCTTTATAACTCCGCTCCCCCTCCCACCAGCTCCCCCCGCCCACCCCCCACCCACAATTCCTCTCTCTTTCTAGTAGGAGAAGCTCCTTCTCTTGCCTGCTCCCTTCCTCTTAGCAGCAGTCAGTCTCCTGCCTGACAAATAGAGGAGGGGTCCCCTTCACAGCCAACCTGGGGCCCCTCTTAACAGAATAGCAGAGTTGGAAGGGACCTTGGAGGTCTTCTTATCCAACCCCCTACTCAAGCAGGAGACTCTGGCCTATGCCATTCCAGACAAGTGGCTGTCCAGTCTCTTCTTAAAGACCTCCAGTGATGGAGAACCCACAACTTCTGAAGGCAAGTCGTTCCACTGATGAATTGTTCTGCTTCTCCTTAATTCCAGGTTCTAGACCATCGAGTGCCAAAGGCGGGGGAAGCATGCGCACATGCCCACACCCATAATTATATGTGCCCCGCCCCCCCACACATGCACGCATAACACCCCCCCCCCCCCCCCCCCCCCACTTGGGACTTGATGGCACAGCCCGGTAGGCCCATTTTTTGCTCTCCCCAGGCTCCAGAGCCTCTCTAGAAGCCTGGGGAGGGCAAAAACAGCCTTCCCCACCCCCCAGAGGCCCTCTGGAGGCCGGAAACAGCCTGTTTCCCTACTGATGGGCCCACAAGACCTGAAAATCAGCTGGCCAGTGTGCGCATGCATGCCAGAGCTCATGTGCCCACCGATATTGGCTCCGTGTGCCACCTGTGGCACGCGTGCCATAGGTTTGCCATCACGGTTCTAGACCTTCTAGAGATCTTTCACGGGAAGTTGCCCAATCTTAATCCCAGGCCTCCCTCTCCCTTTGCAGATGGATTTGAGAGGTTGTGACTTGACACCGAAATAGCAAATGCATAATGAAAACATGGATCGAAGCTAGCCACAACAGAAGGATGGGTTGGCGAGGATGATGGAATTTGCAGCGACAGCTAAATTGACTTCCTTGATCAGCGAAAAGACATTATCCCCACTTATGGTTGACTGGAAACCCCTTGTAGACCTTTTTGCATGAAACAGGGGGGGAAAATGCAGTGGTGAATTGTGGTTTTGATGGTTTAAAAAATGGGTAATAGAAAAATGTGAGCTGTTTTTCATAAGAGAACTTTGTAATTGTGCTCATATTTGCTGCAAAGGAAATAGGAAGCTGCTTCTAATTCTTTTTTACTTTTGCTTTCCGTACTTTTGCCTTCCTTCCTTCCTTCCTTCCTTGAAGATAGTAACAGAGTTGGAAGGGACCCTGGAGGTCATATAGTCCAATCCCCTGCTACTGCAGGAGACCTATACTAGGGATTTGAACAGTCGAATTGCTGATCGCCAAGCTCAGTGTCTTAGCCACTGAGCCACCTAGCCTTCCTTCCTTCCTTTTTTCCTTCCTTCCCTCTCTTTCTCTCTATCTTTCCTTCCTTCCACCCTCCCTCCCTCCCTCCCTTCCTAGCCTCCTTCCTTCCCAGCCCCTTCCTTCCTTCCTTCCTTCCTTCCTTCCTTCCTTCCTTCCTTCCTTCCTTCCTTCCTTCCTTCCACCTTCCCTCCCTCCCTCCCTTCCTTTTTTCCTTCCTTCCGTCCATCCTTCCCTCCCTTTCTCTCTTCTATCTTTCCTTCCTTCCTTCCTTCCTTCCTTCCTTCCTTCCTTCCTTCCTTCCTTCCTTCCTTCCTTCCCAGCCCCCTTCCTTCCTTCCTTTCTCCCTCCCTCCCTCTTTTACTCCTTATTACTTGGTTAGCTTTGATGCTCTTTATAAAACTTTTAATTAAATTTTTATTTAAAAAGAAAGCAAATGTAGTTCAGCTGCCGCTGGGAACAAGACTAGTTTTATAGCTGAGGTCATTAGCAAAGGAACAGAAAAGGCTGTTCCTCATCAAGTCTGGTACAGCAGACCCGGAAGCACCAGCCTTGATTCGGCTTGCAGCCTTTGCAAGCAGAGCGGACACCCCAAATCCAGTCTGCAAACTGCTTTCTGGGTTTTGGGGGTTGCCAGGAATGTGGCAGGGAGTCAGCCTCCTGATCTCAAAGCAAGGCCAGCAGGAATGCACCAGTGGTGGGTTTGGGAATTTTTTTACTACCGGTTCTGTGGGCGTGGCTTGGTGGGTTTGGCAGGGGAAGGTTACTGCAAAATCCCCATTTCCTTCCGATCAGCTGGGACTCGGGAGGCAGAGAATAGATGGGGGTGGGGCCAGTCAGAATTTTTACTACTGGTTCTCCGAGCTACTCAAAATTTCCGCTACCGGTTCTCCAGAACTGGTCAGAACCTGCTGGAACCTAACTCTGGAATGCACGCTCCTCTAAATATAGAAACTCCTTGGGGCCGGTGAGTAGGTGGGGGAACTAGTCCCTGCAACTGCAGATAGTTAAAAGAGTTTGGTGTCACTTACAACACACCAGCTCTGGATTGTAAGTGGTTGCATGTGAATGCTGGGAGGCTGCCCAAGAGTGGTGCCAAGCTGGAACAGCCTCCATTTTCAATAGGACAAACAGACAGCCCCCTGCCCTCTATACCAGGGGTCTCCAACCATGGCAACTTTATGACTTGTGGACAGGGTGGATTTGATTTAAATCAAGTTGATCTAAATCACAATTTAAATCATGATTTAAATCACTAGTAAAAAGGCTTGATTTAAATCAACTCGATTTAAATCATAATTTTAAAGAGCAACTGTCATCTCTGCTACTCCTTTGACCCACTGTTGACTCACCGATAGTCCCAGTGTTGCAGAATATACAGCCTCATGCTACATAACTAAGCTCCATTTCATGCTGAATAAACTAAATTATTTATGTATCTTAAATAGAAAACTCTTACGATAGATTTTTACCCCAAAAGTTTTTTATTAAAATAAATTTGATAAAAGTCAAAAAAATCCGATTTAAATAAAAAAAATCCGATTTAAATAAAAAAAATCTGATTTTTTTGATTTTTTTTAAAAAAAATCATTGATTTTTATCCACCCTGCTTGTGGACTTCAACTCCCAGAATTCCTCAGCCAGCTTTGCTGTGTCTTAAAGTTTTAAAGTTGCCAAGGTTGGAGACCCTTGCTCTATGGTCTCTGCTGC